CTGATTGCAAAAGCTAAGATTTCTAATACTATGTTGAATAACAGTGGCAAGACTAGACATCCCTGTCTTGTTCCTGACCCTAGGGGGAAAGCTCTCAGTTTTTCCCCATTGAGGATATTAGCATTGGGTCACTCGTATATGGCTTTTATCATCTCGAGGTATGCTCCTTCTATCCCTACTTTCTTGAGGGTTTGTATCAAGAAAGGATGCTGTATTTTGTCAAATGCTTTCTCTGTATCTATTGAGAGGATCATATGGTTCTTGTCCTTTCTTTTATTGATGTGATGAATCACGCTGATTGTTTTGCAGATATTGAACCAGCCCTGCATCCCAGGTATAAATCCCACTTGGTCGTGATGAATAATTTCTTAATGTATTGTTGGAGCCGGTTGGCTAATATCTTGTTGAGGGTTTTTGTATCCATGTTCATCAGGGAAATTGGTCTATAGTTCTCCTTTTTAGTGGGGTCTCTGTCTGGTTTTGGAATTGGGTAGTACTGGCTTCATAGAAACAGTTTGGAAGTTTTCCTTCCATTTCTATTTTTTGGAACAGTTTAGAGAGAATACGTTTTAACTCTTCCTTAAACGTTTTGTAGAATTCCCCTGGAAAGCCATCTGGCCCTGGACTCTTGTTTTTTGGCAGATTTTTGATTACTAATTCGATTCCTTACTGGTTATGGGTCTGTTCAAATTTTCTATTTCTTCCTGTTTCAGTTTTGGTGGTGTATATCTGTTTAGGAATTTGTCCATTTCTTCCAGATTGCCTATTTTATTGGCATATAATTGCTCATAATATTATCTTATTATTGTTTTTATTTCTGTTGTGTTGGTTGTGATTTCTCCTCTTTCATTCTTGATTTTTACTTATTTGGGTCCTTTCCATTTTCTTCTTGATCAAACTGGCTAGTAGGTTATCAATTTTGTTAATTCTTTCAAAGAACCAGCTTCTGGTTTCATTGATCTGTTCTACTGCTTTTTTGGTTTTGATAGCATTAATTCTTCTCTAATCTTTATTATTTCCTGTCTTCTGCTGGTTTGGGGTTTTATTTGCTGTTCTTTTTACAGCTCCTTGAGGCATAAGGTTAGGTTGTGTATCTGAGAACTTTCTTCCTTCTTTAGGAAGGCCTGGATTGCTATATACTTTCCTCTTATGACCGCCTTTGCTGCGTCCCAGAGGTTTTGCGTTGTGGTGCTATCATTTTCATTGACTTCCATATACTTTTTAATTTCTTCTTTAACTGCTTGGTTAGCTCATTCATTCTCTAGTAGGATGTTCTTTAGTCTCCAAGTATTTGTTACCTTTCCAAATTTTTTCTTGTGGTTGATTTCGAGTTTCATAGCATTGTGGTCTGAAAATATGCACAGTATGATCTCGATCTTTTTGTACTTACTTGGGGCTAATTTGTGTCCCAGTATATGGTCTATTCTGGAGAATGTTCCATGTGCACTGGAGACGAATGTGTATTCTGCTGCTTTAGGATGAAATGTTCTGAATATATCTGTTAAGTCCATCTGGTCCAATGTGTCATTCAAAGCCATTGTTTCCTTGTTGATTTTTTGATTGGGTGATCTGTCCATTGCTGTGAGTGGAATGTTGAAGTCTCCTACTATTTTGGTATTACTATCGATGAGTTTCTTTATATTTGTGATTAGTTGATTTATATATTTGGGTTTTCACACATTTGGCTCATAAATGTTTACAATTGTTAGGTCTTCTTGGTCTATAGACCCCTTGATTAAGATATAATGCCCTTCTGCATCTCTTGATACAGTCTTTATTTTAAAGTCTAGATTGTCTGATATAAGTATGGCTACTTTGGGTTTCTTTTGTTGGCCAATAGCATGATAGATGGTTCTCCATCCCCTTATTTTCAATCTGTAGGTGTCTTTAGGTCTAAAGTGGGTCTCTTGTAAACAGCATATAGATGGGTCTTGTTTTCTTACCCATTCTGTTACCCTATGGCCTTTGATTGGAGCATTGAATCCATTGACATTTAGAGTGAGTATTGAAAGATATGAATTTATTGCCATTATGATGCTTGTAGAGTTGGAGTTTTTGGTGGTGTTCTCTGGTCCTCTCTAATCTTTTGTTGCTTTTGGTATTTATTTATTTACATATATATATATTTTCATCTTTTCTCCCTTCAGAGAGTCCCCCTTAAAATTTCTTGCAGGGCTGGTTTAATGGTCACAAACTCCTTTAAACAAACTCCTTTGTTTGTCTGGGAAACTTTTTATCTCTCCTTCTATTTTGAATGACAGCCTTGCTGGATAAAGAATTCTTGGCTGCATATTTTTCTAATTCAGCACACTGAATATATCCTGCCACTCCTTTCTGGCCTGCCAAGTTTATGTGGATAGGTCTGCTGCAAACCTGATCTGTCTTCCCTTGTAGGTTAAGGACTTTTTCTCCCCTTGCTGCCTTCATGATTCTCTCCTTGCCTGAGTATTGTGTGAATTTCACTATGATATGCCTTGTTGATTGTTGGTTTTTGTTGAATCTACTGGGAGTCCTCTGTGCTTCCTGGATTTTGATGTCTTTGTCTTTCCCCAGGTGAGGAAAGTTTTCTGCTATGATTAGCGCATATAACCCTCTACCCCTATTTCTCTGTCTTCCTCCTCTGGGACCCCTATGATTCTGATGTTGTTCCTTTTTAATGAGTCACTGATTTCTCTAATTCTTAAATTGTGCTCTTTTGCCTTAATCTCCCTCTTTTTCTCTGCTTCGTTAGTCTCTATAAGTTTGTCCTGTATATCACTGATTTCTCTGTTCTGCCTCGTCCATCCTCGCCACCGCTGCATCCATCCGTGATTGCAGCTCAGTTATAGCATTTTTAATTTCATTCTGGCTATTTTTTACTTCTTTTATCTCTGCAGAAAGGGATTCTAATCTATTTTTGACTCCAGCTAATATTCTTATTATCGTGATTCTAAATTCTGGCTCTGACATCTTGCTTGTGTCTGTGTTGGTTAAATCCCTGGCTGTCGTTTCTTTGTGCTCTTTCCTTTGGGGTGAATCCCTTCATTTTGTCATTTTGAAGGGAGAAAAATAATGAGGTATAAAAATTGAAATTAAAAAAAATAAAATTAAAAGAAATATTAAAATTAAAAATTAAACACACACACACACACACACACACACCAAAATCGAATAGATGATGCTAGATCCTAGGTGTGTTTTGGTCTGGGTGTAGAAAGTGGTTTGACAGATTAGAGAAATAAAAACAAAAATAAAAGCGTGGGGGAGAGGGAAAAAAAAAGGAAATCGTTTGAGAATTTGAAAAAATGAATACACTAAAGTAGACTAAAGTACACAAAAGTAGAGAATATAGTAGAAAAAATTATAGAAAATATTTTTAATAAAAATTAGAAAGAAAAAATATGAATTTTTTCATTTTCTGTATTTAAGAATAAAGAAATGAAAAAGAGAAAAAAGATGAAAAAACAAAAAAGAAAAGACAAAAAAAGAAATCATTTGAAAATTTGAAAAAGTGAATACACTGTCGTAGACTGAAATAAAATGATGGGGGTAAGATAGAATTTGAAAAAATTTACATAAAAGCAAAAAATATAGTAAAAATTAAATAAAATATTTTTAAAAGAAATTGAAAGTAAAAGTGAAGTTTTTCTCTTTCTGCATTCAAGAAAAAGAAAAAAATGATAAAGAGAAAAAAAGAAAAAGAAAGAAAATAAAGGAAATTGTTTGAAAATTTGAAAAGGTGAGTACACCGAAGTAGACTAAAATAAAATGATGGACGTAAAGTAGAATTTGAAAAATTTTCCACAAAAGTAAGAAATATAGTAATAAAAATTAAAGACAGATATTTTTAATAAAAGTTGAAAATAAAAATGAGTTTTTTCTCTTTCTGTATTCAAGAAAAAGAAAAGAAATGTAAAAGATGAAAAGGGAAAAGAGAGAGGAAAAAAAATGAATAGATGAACCTGCTAACAGATTGAAGTAGGACTGAAATTGCTTCGTTTTCCCCTAGGGGTCAGTCCATGTAGCTCTTTGTAGTCCATAAATTAAGCCACGGGTGAGGCTTGTGTTTTTGAAGAGGGAAGATGGCACAGCTGGGCGGGGCTCAGTGTAACAGCTCCGCTCTCCACTAGATGGAGCTACTAGCCTACTGAGGTGGATGGTTGCAAGTGCTCCTTGGTGCGCATGCGCATGCGCGGGAGCGGTGAAAAATGGCGCCCTCCAGCCACCCTGTCTGTTCTCCCAGATCAGCAATCGTGCACCGGTCCTTCGTCTTCAGCTGTCGTCCACTCCCCGCTTTTCCACTCTCAGTGCTCAGGCCCCAGGCGGTACCTCTCTCCTAAGTTTTGTCTCAGATGCGGCTGTTTTCCCCGGCCCCTTACTTCTGAAGGACTGTGGCTTTGACCCGCTCCACCCCTGTGCGGGAGGGTCTCACCGAGCAATGGCTGAAAGTCGGCTGCACCCAGGAACACCCGCTGGACCCTGCTGTTGCCAGTGCGCTGAGACTGGCCAGGTGCCAGCCCGCCCCCCTCCAAAAAAAAATTGGAGACAGTGTAGCCTCAGCGTTTCAGGGACCATGGAAAATCGCAACACCCATCTGGCACCAGGCTTCACCCTCAACAACCTTGCCCCAGCACCAGCGAAAGTGGCTGCCTTCCGGGGTCTGCTGGGACCAGGTGGCTTCAACAGTCTCTACCAAGTGTCCTTCCAGCAGTGGGACCATTTTTCCCCGTGTGGCCTGAGAACCTCCCGGACCCCACTCTGTTCCTGAGGATTCGCCCTTCCCACCAGAGCACCGCCAGGTATGGAGCTGCGGAGTTGCAGCCTTTGCGCTCCCCTTGTTTACAGTTTTAATGGAATTTAAACCCTCTCCTCTCTCCTTTCTCCCTTTTTAGTTTAGACCCTGCGGCTATTTCCAATTTTCCACTTTCTCTTCAGCTGCTTTTGGGGAGGGGTGCTTTTCCTGTATGCTCCCCCCCTTCCCAGTCTCCGTCCTCTCTCCATCCGCAAAAGTGGCTCCCTACCTTTCGGGGCTTCTTGCTCCCCAAGTTCAGCTCTCCTTGTCGCGTACCTGCTGAATTCTGCGGTTCAGGTTGTGCAGATTGTTGTGTTAATCTTCCAGTCGGTTTTCTAGGTGTGTAGGATAGTTTAGTGTTGGTCTGGCTGTATTTCATGGACGCGAGACACACAAACAGCTTCCATGTTGTTCTGCCATCTTGGCTTCTCCCTGGAATATATGGTTTTTAATAAGAGCAGCTGTTATTTCATTCACTAAGGTGTACAATATTTTAAGTCTTGGTTTTCTGTTTTGGAGGTATGTTAATTTGTTCACTTGCTTAATTTATTTCCATTTTCTGAGTGTGGGTCTTACTTGTGGAATGTGTTTTTTTGTAAACTACTTTTACATGATGGGAATGCCTCACTGTGCCTTACGTCTTTTTAAGGTTAAAAAAATATATATAATGCACGTTAAAATGTGCAATCATGAGGGACACTCACAAATAGTCGTAGGTCCTTGATGAGATTCTTTAGCCATGTGCGCACATAATGGCTTGCACTTGGCTAGTTATCACTTGCTGAGGGATGATTTGCTGAACTGAACTTAAATTTCAGTTATGCTGGATGCAAATGAGCAATATGAAAATTATAAACAGTCCCCAAAATGCAGACTTTCCTTTGGGAAATTTAAAGCCAGGACATATAAGCAATTATAAAAAAAGCTTACTTTTATACTAAGAGTTGGCATACATTGGGAAATAAATGCGAGAAAGCTGGTACTCTCAGGTATATTTTAGGATAAACCTGTGACTCTTCTGGTAATACATAAATCTTCAGATGCTGTGAGTATTTGGGACTTGAGGAATTGCTATTAATTGCATTTTGGAGTTAAATTAGGTTGAATGAGAAATGCTTTCTGGCCTCAACTCTTCCAGTTAGAAATCTTTCTAAAATGCATGAGTAGACTTTTTTAACCAGCAAGACAATGAATTTTGTCTTTTTTTTTTTTTTTTTTTTTTTTTTTTTATGATTTAGACCTAGCATGCCTCAGGGACATAATTCTCAGTATCAGTCATCATTGTACAATATGATAAGAGGTAGAGATAAAGGAGATGAGACCATCTGTATTACTGAATAGAATAGTAGGTAGTCAGTCACCACAGGACTCTTACAAATCAGCCCTGTACAAAGTGTTGGAGGGGGTATAAAAATATAATTCTTTGTTGCAGGGAGTTGTACATTTTAGGATGTTTAGGATTTGGGGATCTTTTATCTCGTTTGCCTTCTGTTTTCTCATTCTTCTTCCTCTTCCCCACTTCCTTTTTCCCACTTAGGTTAGACTGATGGAGGTCTGTGAGAAGAGAATCCACAGTCATGACCACTGTATTAGTTTTGTGTGGCTGCCGAAACAAATTACCACAACCTTAAAACACTGGAAACGTATTCTCTCATAGTTCTGGAGGCCAAAAGTCCGAAATTATTTTCGCTGGACAGAAATCAGGGTGTTGGCAGAGCTCCACCTATTTCAGAGGCCCTAGGGGAGAATCCTTTCCTTGACCCTTCCAATGTCTGGTGGCTGCTTCCCTCCAGTCTCTGCCTCCCTGGTCACATGGCCTTCTTCTCTTCTGTGTGTGTCAAGTCTTCCTCTGCCTCCCTCTTATAAGGATATTCATGATTACATTTAAGGCCCAGCCAGATAATCCAAAATAATCTTCTCCATCTCAAGATTCTTAATTTAGTCACATCTGCAAAATGCTTTTTTACAAATAAGGTAACATTTACAGGTTCTGGGGATTCAGACCTGATACATTTGTGCACTAATGTACATATTAGTGGTGGGGGGTTGGAGGGAAGGGAAAATGGGTGATGGGCATTGAGGAGGGCACTTGTTGGGATGAGCACTGGGTGTTGTATTTAGGTGATGAATCATGGGAATCTACTCCCGAAGCCAAAAGCACACTGTATGTACTATATGTTATTAACTTGACAATAAATTATATTTAAGTCCTTAAAAAAATCAGAATGATACAGAGTCCTCCCTTTATATGGCAGTCAATACCAAGTCCATCGTAAACACATATGAACCTCTCTGCTGGATCTCACCTACAAGCATTAAAAAGGAGTCATACCTCTTCATGTATCTTCTGTTCATTGGAAGAGCTTTTTGTGTTTGAGCAGCATCTCCCTCCAAGAATTGAGGAAGAAGAGACCTCATTGTAACTTTCTAGTTCTCTGAGTACCAGCCATCAAGTCCCAAATAATGAAAGTCAGGACCAACAGTTCTACTTATGGAGAGCTTCCCATTTTCCTCTTCAGAGTGTGAAGGCTATTCTTTAGTAAGGAAAAACCATCCCCTGGGCCTACTTAGTTCTGGCATGTTCTGGCAACATGCCCTCTTCAACTCAAGCTAGAAGACATACAGAGAAAGTCACGGAGAGGATTGATAAGGAGTCCTCCCTAACTGGAGATCCTACTAAATTCACTGAGACACTAGGACTGTGAGGAAAGAGATACTTTGAGAGTTTCATATTTATCTTTCTTTAAATAACCCCATCGCCCACAAAGTAATTAAGGTTGAGGAAGGTGAAGATACAAAGGAGCGTAAAAATTCATGCCCACTTTCTTTGCTACCCAGTATCCACTATAAACAGACCATGATCTCTTGCTGGGTCCTGTGGGGGAAGGAATCCTGCTAAGTTTGTGAGCATTAATTTTTATGGGACCTGCAGTCTCTGAAGCCCTTGTGCATCCTTGGTTATGCACTTTCTGAATTTTCATTCAATGAATTTTAGAGTAATGATTCTAATAAGAAATAAATATTACTCTTTTGAAAGAGTATTTTAACATAACTCTAAGACATACTGAAGTGTTATAGTCCCATAGAGCCAATAACCATTTGACTTTTTCCAATATTAGCTTACTTGACATTGAAAAGGATGTGGTTTTTGTATGCCTATTTGATTTTCCAGCAATATTTGATTAGTGACTTCTTATGTCCCCTGGGAAAATATCTCAGGATCTCTGTTGGCCAGGAATGGTTTTTCTCAACTCAGTATTTCTAAACTTTGGTACTATTGACTTTTGGACTGTTATTTCTTTGTTGCAGGGGTGTCTTAGGTATTTTAGAATGCTTAATAGCATCCCTGGCCTTTACCCTCTAGATGTCATCCCATCACTGAGTTGTACCTATCAAAAATATCTCTAGATATTGTCAAATGTCACCTGGGGAGCCAAATCGCCCTTGGTTGAGAATGAGTGTTCTAGCTCTATTACTTGCTTGGTTAATAATAATAGCTAGCATTTATAAAGCACTTGCTAGTTGCCAGTCACTGTACTGAGCACTTGACTTGTATTAATGAATTTAACTTATAAAACTTCACCAGGTAGGTGCTATTATTATCCCTATTTTACAGATAGGAAAAATGAGGCCCTGAAGCATTGAGCAAATGTGCTACCATTATACAACTTTTCAAGAGTAGAACCAGGATTTAAACCAGCAGTTAGGATTTAGAATTAGAATTTATGCTCTTAGCCATGGTGGTATAGCTGCTGTCCAGTGATCATTAAGATAATATTGTGGGGCACCTGGATGGCTCAGTCGGTTAAGCATCCAACTTCGGCTCAGATCATGATCTCATGGTTCATGGGTTCAAGCCCCATTTTGGGTTCTGTGCTGACAGCCCAGAGCCTGGAGCCTGCTTCGGATTCTGTGTCTCCCTCTTTCTCTGCCCCTCCCCCGCTCACACTCTGTGTGTGTGTGTGTCTCTCTCTCTTTCAGAAATAAGCATAAAAAAAGAATATGTTGTTATAGACTTGAAAAACATCTTCTTTTGGAGCTAAAGATTGTAAATAAACTATGACAATGGATGAAAGCAGGACCATTCCTTCCATGCAAGGAAGGGTAAAAGAATGGTTCTTCGGAAAGACCATTTATTGAATTCATACTAGGAGTGAGGCACTCACCTTGAAACTTGCATGTGGTTTATTTCACTTAATCCTCGCAGTAGATTGATGGAGTAGATATTATTACATTCATTGCTTATATGGAAGAACCTGGCTCCAAACAACTAATTTTACCCAAGCCATTATAATGTAAGAGCCAGTATAATAACTACCTGAAACAGAATTTGAGTCAGTGCTTTCTGACTTTAAGCCCATGTTTTCTCTGTTTTGTATCTTCCTTGGGTTTAAAAAGATGGAAGGAGGAGCATTTTTAGATGCTCCATAGGTATCTTCTGGTCTGAACATCATTTCCTGTACAAATTAAATTACTTGAAGCTGATACTTGGAGATTTTGAGCTCTCACCCTCCACTCAAGCCTCTAACAAAATCTAGTAAAATGTGAAGGCACAGGTAGGTGGGCTTGGCATCCATAGGCCTGGTTTGAGTTCTGGCTTGGCCACTTCACTGCTATCCAACCCTGGGCAAATCATGAAACACTAGGAGCTTCAGCTTCCTTATTTGTAAACCTGGGGTTAATAATAATAGTACCCACTTGGCAGGGTAAGTATTAGAAATAATGTATGGAAATACAATTTTATTTGGTACAATTTTGCTTGTTAAAATTGAAAACTATGCATTTTGCCACTTTTCTTTTTGCTATCTTCCTTTCAAAGCCCTGGCAATGTTTCCACCACAATTTCCCCTACCCCATTCATGGGTATCTGGAAACCTGCCATTTAGAAATTCATTAAGATTCATTCTTGATTAAAATGAAGATATCTAGGGAGTAGACAGAAGTTTGTGTTAGCTAAACACACTTCTAAAGACTGGTCTGGGCACTCGGAGAGGGAAGGTGAAGACAAGGAGACAATGACTTCACAGGATTGTTTCCAACAGACCATGTGTAAAAGATTATTGTGAAAGATTGCATACTCCAATCTGCATCTACAGAGAACAATAATAAATGTTAAGAGCTTAATGAAAACTTTCTTTTATCACAAGGCTGAGTTGTGAATTATTTAAGTGGGACTTAACCTAGAACCTAAGTCTTTAACTGTGGATATATGAGCACACACATGCATGTGTAATTGGTGTATAAGGTGTAAAGAAAGTACAAGAAACACTG